TGGTTTCTAATTGCCTGTCTTTACATACATATCTCACTAAAGTAGGATCTTTAACAAAAGAGACCATGCCTTTTCCCCATTACCTTTAAAGTGAGTGACATAAAACTATGGCCTAGTGTAGAAGTCAAATATTTATTTGCTGATTAATAGTGATAATAAGAGTGTATCGATGCCAGGTAAAATCTGACTGGAGGATGGAAGAAACTTCACTGCCATGATTTTTCATGTAATTTTTAGGAAACAGCCTTCATAAATGGCCTTGGGGAACCACAGCACCATCACTGAATTCCTCCTTCTTGGGCTGTCTACAAACCCCCAGGTCCAGACTCTGCTCTTTGTGCTGTTCCTGTACATTTACCTCCTGACCATCTTGGGGAACCTGATGGTGCTGCTGGTGATCAGGGCTGACTCTCACCTCCACACACCCATGTACTTTTTCCTCAGTCACCTCTCTTTCCTAGATCTTTGTTTATCTTCAGTTACTGTGCCCAGGATGCTGAGAGACCTCCTATCAGAGATAAAAACCATCTCAGTAAGGGGTTGCCTGGCTCAAAGTTTCTTTGTGTTTATCACTGCAGGGACTGAGGGCTTTCTTCTCTCAGTGATGGCCTATGACCGCTACGCCGCCATCTGCCACCCTCTGCTCTATGGACAGATGATGAGGAAAGAGTTTTGTGTGCAACTTGTGTTGGGCTCATGGGGCTTGGGTTTTTTTAATGCACTTATCAACATCCTCCTAGCTACCAACATGGACTTCTGTGAGAGCCATATCATTAGCCACTACAGCTGTGAGGTACCCTCCCTCTTTCCCCTGTCTTTTTCTGATATCTCCATCAACCTCATAGTGCTGTTCTGCTCCACCCTACTTCATGGGTTTGGGACCTTATTTCCAATCATCTTATCCTATGCCTGCATTGTCTCTACCATCCTGTGCATCAGCTCCACCTCAGGGAGAAAGAAGGCCTTCTCTACCTGCTCCTCTCACCTTATGGCAGTGATCTTCTTTTATTGCTCAGGGTTTCTCCGCTATCTCATGCCAACCTCAGGATCCCCCCTAGAGCTGATCTTCTCTGTGCAATATAGTGTGATCACCCCCATGCTGAATCCTCTCATTTACAGCCTCAAGAACAAGGAGGTGAAGGCAGCTGTGAGGACACTGGGAACTTATTTGCCATGCTCCAGGTGAAAAAAGAGATGCTAGAGGATAATAGGAAATTAGGATAATATGACACTAGCCACACATTGTGTAAGTTGACTTTAATAAAAACTTTCTAGGTCTATATTATGTCAGATGTTATGAGATAAGCAAGCAGTGCAAAAGAAAGAACATAGAGGTATTAGAAAGTTGTTACTTTAGTCTAAATAGAAGGAAACATGGGTTAAATAAGTGTCTCAGTTCAGAAAATGTGGTCATTAAAGTGTTGATTCATCATTCTCATGTACTCCCCAAATATTTACTTTGATCTTCTTATTAGTAAAATATGTATATGTTCAGTTATTATTAGTAATTTAGTTTAGGAAAAGGCAATGAAAGCCATACTTTACTCTTAAGTGAAGATTCTGGGTGGTTGAGTAAAAATAGTAATAGACTTCAGCTAAGTGGAAGGAGAGTAACAAACTTCAACTGGGTGGTCCTTGGATATAGGCAAAAGGAACTGAGGATGCTGAAGAAGTGAGTTCATATATTGGGCCAGTGGACAGACACAAAAAACTTCCCAAATCCTGTTGTTTCTTTCTATAATCTTTCTATGGAACCCTTACATATGCTCATTCATATATGTATAATTTCTTGCATATGTGTGTGAATAAATGTTATGATCATAACAATAACTAAAAATACTTTAAAATACATATAGATTAACAAAGAAAGCAAACATTCTTTTAAAAAAAGTCTTCTTGATTATTCTAAACATCCTTGAATTGTGTTTTCTTGCTTATTTATTTGATAAGTAACAGTGGGGGAAAATATGATGCCAGAACAGACTAGTTTGACTGAAAACCTAATAGTTCACTGTAAATAAATAAATGAAAATTTTGACTTGTGTAACAGTCTATTTGTGCTTAAGACTATTTGTACTTAAGACTATAATATGTTTATCTGTAATTAAGACTATAATAAACTTTTACACAAATGGGAATATTAAAGTATAACAGGGTGCAGTATCAGACTCTAAATACATACAGAAAGCAAAGGGATTTGAATAGACAGTTTAGGCAAAGAATTGTGCTTGTTAACCTTTTTAGCCTTTTACTTTTTTGATAATAAATCACTTTTACACATCAAATTTGACCAGACTTGATTTTGCCTGAGAAATCCCAAAGGGAAGACATAGCCCTTAGAGTATCATTTGAAAACTACTCTTTTCCTGCTTGGGAAGCCAGGCAAATGCCCCTTTGGCCAGTCTACTTTCAACTCCCCCTAGACTCAGAAGAGTTTAGAATTAATGATTAAGGGTCATTGCATCACTCAGATGTTCCAAAGACCATACCTAAGAGATCCCCACTCATCCTTATAAAAATCAGTGTTGAAAAAACTTTTTTACTACTAAGTGTAACTTCAGGTTAAGACCATAGAATATAAAAGCTGTTGCCCTCACCATGCCCTGGCCTGCCAAGGGCAAGGAATCAAGCCAACCAGTTGCCTAAATACAGCTGTTCTGTGAACTCGTTAAACCTGAATAATGTTTTGTTTAACTGAGACATAAAGTTAGAAAAAAGAAAAACTAAGATTATGTGAGACTCTGAAAAAAAAGCACAATATCAATTTCACAATATCAATTTATTACTGTATAATTCAGTAAAGTGTTTCATCATCAAAAGGATTTTATAAATTTTATCATGGCACCAGATGTAGAAGCTACATTCTCCAGGTCATCTTCCTTCTCACTAAATGGGACTAAATAAAAGTCCTGCAGCCAAATTGCAGAGAAGACTGGCTTATTGAATGGGATATACAGGTAATGTGCATTTGGAGTGTGGGAAGGATTTTGAGGCTGGATTTATGACTAAGGAGTTAACAAGTAAGGAATAAGACCTTTCCCTTGGCTGAGCTCAGGACTTACTGGGAATGGTCAGGATAAGGAACTGGCTGGCTACCCTAATAAGTCCTATGGATGACCCAAGTTCAGACTAGAGGGTATAAGGCCAAAGCTGGAAGTCATTGGTAAATACTCAATGTTCAAGCAAATAGAGCATTGTTGTAATCTAGACATAGAGACTCTGAGAAATAGAGGGAGGGACATGAGCACATCTGGCCATGAAGGAGAAATCTGGAGTATGAAGATTAGGACTGTGTTTCAGGATGAAAGTCATAAAGTTACTCTAACTATCTCTATGACAGAGGAATATAAAGGATTGGATATTCTACTCCTGTTTTAAACAGGCCCCTGAGTATGAGCAGAGAAAAGTTGGTGAGAGGAGTCTTCCTCCTGTGGCAGGGAATAACAGCAATGGGTGTTTCCAACAGAAACTAGTCCTACAGGATAAATGCCCCAAGTTTTTTTCCTATACTGCCTGGGAGAGAGATCCAGAATGCTTAGTACTGGACAGAGTCCTCTCTCCTCGCTGCTGCTCTAGCCAGGATACCCATTCAAGTATTCCCTGGCATTAAACCCTTTCAAGCTTTCCTCTTGCTTACTTTTCTTTTTTCCTTTTTAAAGATTTCATTTATTTATTTTAGAGAGAACGAGTAAGAGAGAGCATACAAGGTGAGGGACGGAGGGAGAAGCAGACTCCCCACTGGGCAGGGAGCCCTATGTAGGGCTTGATCCCAGGACTCAGGGATCATGACCTGAGCTGAAGGCAGACATTTAACTGACTGAGCCACTCAAGTGCTCCCTCTTTCTAACTTTTCTAGAGTTTTCAGCCTGTTCTGGGATACACATCCATCCTAGTAATGCTCTTCAGGTGGGCCTGAGGGTCTACACTGAGTCCCAACCACTTTCTCTCCCCCTTATCATCATTTCTGCAGTCCTGCAGCTATGCCTATTAGTGGCAATCACATACCCACCTCTCTAACTGCAAAGTGAAGATAGACTCAACACCAAAATAATTCTAAATTTCTAACATGCCTACCAGCAGAGGTGATGAGCAGAGGAGGAAAGTTACTGGTAATGGTTTCAAACGACTTCTTACACATCTCTTGATAAAGGCATGTGAAGTAATATCAGTGACAGCAACATCAGCAGTAACAGCTTTGGTTTTCGAAAGTGCTTTACTGATGTGAGAATATATGACATTTGCCTAGACTTAAAAATCTCAAATAATAGGAAGGAGGAGGAGGAGAGATGGTAGAGGCATTATTAAGTTAGAAGTAGGTGCTTTTGAAGAGCTTTACATATAATTTCATATTTAATCCTAAAAACCCTCTGTGGTACTGTTACTATCTGCCTTTAATGTGCAAGGATATTGAGGTAAAGAGCTTTATGTATCTTGTGTGAAGTGATAGCTTATTAGGATTTGAGGATTTGAACCTAGTTTAATATAGAAACCCACATGGTTAGCCACTGTTCTCTGATGCCCACTTATTCCCTAGGCATCAGCTTTTCAAAACTACATATGTTTTAACAGCCTATGGGCTGCACTCTTTCTAGTACTGAGCCTTTGGGTGCTTTTTTATTCAAACTAAATATGTGTCAGAAACACATTTCCAAGAGCAATCATACACTTTCTTAAAAAGTTTTGTCAAATTCGCTCAATTTACTATCATTATTGACCCTCATTAAATCACAGTTTATGCTGCCATTGCATTAGTTACAGTATACATTCTCTCTTCATATCTATATTCTTCAACAGACAATATTAAGAAGAGGGGCCATATTTTAATCATATTTTTTTTAAGTGGTTGACACAAAACCCAGGTAATAATAGAAAGCAAAATTGTTTACTGGATAACAGTGATATGAAAAGAGAACCAATGCAATCAGAAAGTTCCTTGGGGGAATAAAAGACCTTTGGCTCCTATGCTTTTTTATATTACTTCTAGGAGAAGGCCTTTGTAAATGGACTTGGGGAACTACAGCACAATCACAGAGTTTATTCTCCTCAGGCTCTCTGCCAACCCCCACATCCAGGCTGCACTCTTTGTGCTCTTCCTGGGGATTTACTTGCTGACTATCATGGGGAACCTGATGCTGCTGCTGGTGATAAGGGCTGATTTCCACCTCCACACCCCCATGTACTTCTTCCTGAGTCACCTTTCTTTTGTTGATATCTGCTTCTCTTCGGTCACTGTACCCAAGATGCTGGAGAACCTTCTGTCTCAGAAGAAAACAATATCAGTAGAGGGCTGCCTCACTCAAGTCTTCTTTGTGTTTGTTGCTGCAGGAACTGAAGCCTGTCTGCTTTCTGTAATGGCCTATGACTGCTATGCTGCCATCTGCCACCCTCTGCTCTATGGACAGATCATGAGTAAACAACTGTATATGCAGCTTGTGTGGGGCTCTTGGGGACTGGGCTTTCTGGATGCATTCATCAACATCTTCCTAGCTATGAAGATGATCTTCTGCAAGGCCCAAATCATCCCCTACTTCAGCTGTGAAATGCCCTTTCTCCTCTCACTGTCTTGTTCTGATATCTCCAGAAACCTCATTGCCTTGCTCTGCTCCACTCTTCTGTATGGGCTAGGAACCTTCCTTTTGGTCTTCTTATCCTATGCCCGTATTATCACCACCATCCTGAGCATTAGCTCTACACAGGCAGAAGCAAGGCCTTCTCCACCTGCTCCTCCCACCTCACTGCAGTGATACTTTACTATGGTTCAGGTTTGCTCCACAATCTCATGCCAAATTCAGGTTCCCCACTTGAGCTGATCTTTCCTGTGCAGTATACTGTAGTCACTCCCATGCTGAATCCTCTCATCTATAGCCTGAAGAACAAGGAAGTGAAGGCAGCTCTGACAAGAACTTTGGAAAAGTATTTGCAACATATCAGGTGCTGAAATGAAAACAGAAAATGGTGGAGAACTGGAATATATCTGCATACAATAGGACATTCAGTGAGTTTACAATAGTAAGGTATGCTTACCATGTCAGATGCTGCAACATAAATTAGAAGTCCATTAGAAAATGACAGAAAGTAATAATAGGAAGAATGGTTCAATTCCTTTTCAAGGCAAACAAATTATGAAATAACCACCTTAATCTAGAGAGTTTTGTTATTCATATTTGTTCATTTTTCTCATTTCAGAACATTAACCTTAGGCTAATTAATCTTAGGCTTTCATTTTGTAAAATCACTAGTTTCACTAATCTATCATTACTTTTATTGACTTTTGGGAATACACTTTTGAGAAGAAGGTAGGGTCCTGGATCTATAAGAAAGAAAAGTTATAGATAAGGGTAAATGGCAAGAAAGTTAAAGAATTCCAACTGGATGTCTTTAGAAGACAGGTATGGAAAGCTGAAAGTTCTGCAGGGAAACAATAAACATATTGATGCAGAGCTCAGACTCACAAAATTTCCAAGAACTTTTCTGTATGTTTGGGATGGTGGCCAGATCTCCAGTGTGAGAGGCTGCAAGAAGGCTCTGGGTCTCTAGAAATCTCATTTCTCACATAGTCTTCACTCAGAATTGTATTTTCTACAATTAGCTAATCTTACTCCTGTTCTTTTTCTTATGGAGTGCAGGCTATGAGCTCTAGACAAATAATCTGGTCTTGATCTCATCACAAGTGAATCCTAAACCATCTTTCAGCTGTGAAACAACTGGTCACTGCTTAGGAACCAGTGGTTTACTGGCTTTAAGGCACTGCATCACTCCCACATAATTCACTTTTACCTATAAAACATAATCTCATTCTCACATTGCTCCTGATTTGTTTAATCCATATTTTACAATTATCTAATTCACTGTATTTAAGTAAAAAGGGGCAAAACCAAGTACAAACTATTCACTACATCATGTAATATTAGCTTGCATTTTTGGGGTACCTGGGTGACTCAGTCATTTGAGAGTCCAACTCTTGATTTTGGCTCAGGTCATGATCTCAGGGTTGTGAAAATCCCACATTGAGTTCCAAGCTTGGTATAGAGACTGCTTAAGATTCTCTCTCTCCCCCTGCTTCCCTTTTCCTCTCCCCCCATCATGTGTGTGCTCTCTCTTTCTCTCTCTCTCCCACTCTTCAAAAAAAAATTAGCTTGCACTTTTCTCAAGCTTCTTTTGAAAACTCATTTTGTTCCAGTTGTCAATTATAAAGGCTCTTCCTCCTCATCTGGCCATTTATAACTCACAGTAACAGCCTCTTCTCATTTGATACTCCAGAAAACTCTAAATGCATTATCTCCCTCTGCAAACAACAGGGTATTCAAGGCCTTCTTTGTATTCTGTTACCTAAGGTGAAGCACCAGCAAACCTTCTAATGTCAAGCTTCCTAGGGTGAAGGACAGTGAAAAGTCCTGTACCTGGGATGAAAGCTGGTTATTGTCAGTGCACAGATGTCACAGACAGAAAATGATTGAGAGAAAGATACCAACAGACTCAGTTAAATTCCCTTTAGAATAAGTAAAAGACATGAAATCATAACTGCATGAAGACATCCCTTCAAATCTTAGAGGCTCAACAATTGCCTCTTTAGAGGGCCAATGCCCTTGAACTTGATGCCTACAGTGTTACTCTACTGCTTACTTTACTGCCTCAAGGCCTAAAGGATTTTCTTTAGGCCTTAGAGAAACTCTTCTGACCATTCTCTCAAGGATTTTTGTGCTCTTCTGGCCTGCAGAAATTCAAGGATATTGGCATATCCTTCATATTGGCCTTCCCAAGAGACATAAATAACTGGTAGCAGTCCTAGTATATACCTGAGTGCTTTTTGCTGAAAGGTTGAATTTATAAGAAAATTCTCGATATTAATTTCCCATTTTCACCATTTCCTAAACAGGTCTGAAGTCTCTTCCTATAAGACAGGTAACAAAAAAACAAACAAACAAACAAAAAAAGCCAGCAAATATGCCAGATACGGAAGCTTGCAATGTGATAGTTCATTCTAAGTTTTTCAGTTTTACCCTAGTTTCATCATGTTCTTTGCTTTTTTACTTAAAACCTTTGCAATCTATTCTATTATTTTTATCACTTTATCTTTATGAAAATATGTCATTTCCAAAAGTTGAGCAAACATATATATTCCAATTAAAGAATGATTATGAAATGAATACATACATACTACTCGGCTTAAGAAATTATTCATTTTGCCATCTCTTCTTTACTCCCCAAAACTGCCTGCTACTCTGAACTTGTTAATCATTTTCTTTGTCTAACTTAGTTTTGCCTATTCTGAACTTTAAAAACAGAATTATGATATATGTTTGTTGTGGTTTGCTTCTCTTCATCTATAGGAAGTTATCACCAATCAGAGCCCTGGTTTTGGCACTCAGCTGTTATGTGTCTAAAACTGCTAGCATTGGCAGCTGCTTGTTTTAGTAGGGGATTCTATACACTTAGGCCTAAGATGGAAGTTGTCAGATTTGGTCCCTAACCAAAACTTTTCTCAGGTTAGGGGTTTAGAGTCCAAATGTACCTTCTGACAAGCCTACCCTGGAGTGTAGAACAGAAATTATGATGTAGATAATTCAGCAGTAAATTTCAATGGTTTAGAAGAATTAACTCATTATTTTACTCTGATATTATAGCAGAATGAGTACATCCAGACACAGAAAGCAGATTGGTAGTTGTAAAGGAAGAATGGAGAGTTGTTGCTTAATGTGTACAAGGGTGTGTTTCGTTTTGTTTGTTTGTTTGTTTTTTGGTTTTTTTTT